TGGTGTCATCTCTGATTTTTTTTTTTGAGAAGTGTTTCATAGTCCTCCTTGTAGAGTTTGTTTACCTCCCTGGTTATCTATATTCCTAGGTATTTTATGCCTTCTGTGGTAATCATGAAGGGGATTGCATTCTTGATTGGGGCAACATAGTGAGACCGCACCTTAAAAAAAAAAAAACAAGCCTTAGATTCAAGAAACAATATGAACTCCAAGCAAGGTAGGAATATACCTTGTTGGTGTGTAGGAATTGTAGCCACATTAAAAAAATAAAGTGTCAGGCCGGGCGCAGTGGCTCACACCTATAATCCCAGCACTTTGGGAGGCCGAGGCGGGTGGATCACGAGGTCAAGAGATCGAGACCATCCTGGTCAACAAGGTGAAACCCTGTCTCTACTAAAAATACAAAAATTAGCTGGGCATAGTGGTGCACGCCTGTAGTCCCGGCTACTTGGGAGGCTGAGGCAGGAGAATTGCTTGAGCCCAGAAGGCGGAGGTTGCAGTGAGCGAGATCATGCCATTACACTCCAATCTGGGTAACTAACAGTGAAACTCCGTCTCAAAAAAAAAAAAAATACAGTGTCATGTAGTCAATTTACAAAATATTAAGTTTACAAATAGATAACAAATAATGAAAAAAATAAAAATAGGCAATAAAAACAGACAAAGGAGATCCAGATATTGATATTATTAAACACAGACTTTTAAACAACTGAGATCAGTACAGACAAAAAGTAAGTGACAATGGTGGAGAATATAAGCAGAAAACCACAATCTATAAAAAGGAATCCATTAAATTTTCAGAGAGGCTTAAAGAACTAAAGACAAGTTGGTATAAATATCTCAACTGAAGCACAGAGGAAAAGAAGGATAGGAAATAGAGTTCATGTAGAACTCCTTTTAATAGTCTTTTCATTACAAGTATGCTAGTAAAAAAATGAATTTTTGTGGGACTGAAAGCATCTTTCTTTTGTGTTCACCTTTGAAGGGTATTTTCTTCAGGTACAGCATTCTAAGAAAGCAGACGTTTTCTTTCAGCATTTTGCAGATGCTATTGCATTGTCTTCTGGCTTCCATCATTTTTCTTGAGAAGGCAGATGTCAGTTTTGCTCTTGCTCCTTTGACATTAAAATGTCTTTTTTCCCTTTGGGTGCTTTTAGGATGCTTTCTCTTTCATTACTAGCAGTGTTGACCTAATGTGTCTAGTGATTTTCTTTGTACCTACCTAGCTTGGAGTTCATATTGTTTCTTGAATCTAAGACTTAAAATAGCTTACCAGTTTTGGAAAATTCTTGGCCATTATCTCTTCCAATATTGCTCTGCCCTGTTTTAACTAGTCCTCAGTTTGGTCTGGTGTCTAAACGCTACTTCTGGAGTTGAATCCCACTTCCTACCTCACTGTTCAATACGTTGATGGTCCTTTACAAAATATCATCTGGCAAGGGATTGTGGGAGGCATCTGTAGTCCCAGCTACTCAGGAGGCTGAGGTAGGAGGATCACTTGAGTCTAAGAGGTTGAGTCTAAATTCATCCTGGGCAATATAGCGAGACCCCCATCTCTTAAATCAAAATCAATCATCAAGAGGATTAAGTCCATTTTATTACCTCTTTTGACTCAGACTAATATGACAGCATAAAGAAGTCTTGAAAGAATGATTCTTACTTACTTGTAGAGAGCCAGGACCTGTGGCTGGAATGGCCTTTTCTTTTGTAAAATAGTTATTTTTGGTTCTCAGCTTTTTGTCTGCTGCTGCCTGTCACCTGAACATCACATGAGGCATTTTCCTGCCACTTTCTCTCAACAGATGTTGATCAATTAAAAAGAAAAGACATGGCCGGGCGCAGTGGCTCACGCCTGTAATCCCAGCACCTTGGGAGGCCGAGGTGGGCAGATCACAAGGTCAAGAGATTGAGACCATCCTGGCCAACATGGTGAAACCCCGTCTCTACTAAAATACAAAAATTAGTTGGGCATGGTGGTGTGTGCCTGTAGTCCCAGCTACTTGGGAGGCTGAGGCAGGAGAACTGCTTGAACCTGAGAGGTGGAGGTTGGAGTGAGCTGAAATTGCGCCACTGCACTCTATCTAGCCTGGCGCCTAGCAACAGAGTGAGACTCTGTCTCAAAAAAGAAAAAAAGGCAAGACATTACGTGGAGACAGGCCTGACTTCACAGGCACTTGCACAAGGTCCTTAGAAGGGCATATGTTTGGTTTAACATTCTGATGTCGCCATCTTGGAATCAATAATAATTTTTGAATGAGGGTTGTTTTAGTGCTAGATTCTATAAAAGATAGTAGTGGTCCTGCCTGGAGAATCCATGTCCCCAATGCATTTTCATTACTTGAGAAACGACATACATGTTTATACTTGAGGATATAAAGAGAACTGTATTGTACTTGAGAATGAAGTTTGACGGCAATTAAGCGCCTATTCTTTGGGAATTGGGTGATTATATGGTTGTTCCCATAGATCCTCTGAAAGGAAGGGCCAAGGCCCTGAAGCCAGACCTCTTCCTCTGCAGGAGTCCCTTGCTGGAGTCTCTGAGCAGAGATTCCCCTCTGCGGCTCCAGGGACAAGAGACTGCTGAGCACTTTCACCAGGGAGTTGAAACCGCAAAGCAAGCTCAAATATCAGGTATCAGGCAAACAGAAAGAAATGAGAACAACATCAGGCCAATCACGTTTTATTCTTTCATTTTATCCCTCTGCCAATTTATTTCTACAAATATTTCCTGAATGAAAATGATTAAGATATAGTACCTGCCATCAGTGAGTCTAAAAGGAGGACACTGGAAATTAGTGTGCAAAATGAAATTAGAGTCTGTAAAAACAATACTGAACAAGCAAAGTACTTGAGAGGTTATTGGATCAAGAAGTCTAAAGAGAAGTAGAAGTTCAGGGAAAGTGGTTGGTGTCTTGTGTCTGGACTAGATTGAGCTTCCTGAGGCCAGGGACTGACTACCATATATATGCATGGTAGGCCATCTGTCAGTATTTGCTAGGTGGATGGACAGGTGATTAGGACATTCCAGCTGGAAGGCAGATTGGAGACATACTGCAAATAGTCCTCACTGTTAAGGAAGAGGTTTGTACTTTATTTTGGTAAAGCACTGGAGAACTGCTAAGTTTCTGGGGTTTTGTTTTTCTTTTTGGGTATTGGTATAGTCAGATTGGACTTGCATTCTAAGGAGGATTCATCAGAAAACAGTGGCGTATAAGTATTAGAGAGGCATTTTGAAATCGGTGATTAAGGAGGAGTTTTGCAGGTATGTGAAGGAGGAGTTGGCAGAGGAAGAGGACTGCAAGGCCAGCAGGGTGGTCACCAGAGCTGGTCTTTGCTCCCATACCTCTGCCACCTTCTCCTTTTCCAGAGCATCTGGTCACCCAGGCCACAGCAAACCTCTTTCAGCTGCTTCCTCTCTTTCTTATGTCTTCCCTGCCTCTCTGTGTTGGTTAATCTTCTGAAGCACTGAGCAGATCCTGTTGCAGACCTTGCAGAAACTTCCCATAATTCTGTTGTCCACACTTCTCTTCCTGCTCTTGTAGATATTCCATGACTTAGCACCATCCCTACCCACCTGCCAGAATGTCCTGACCCCTCCCTTCACCTGAGCCTGTTTTAGTCCCTGCCTTTGCAATATCACACAAGCCAGCCTGCCTGTCTCTTTTTTCTTTCTTCTTTTTCTTGTTATTTCTTTCATTTCTTTATTTTTCTTTCTTTCTCTCTTTCCTTTTTCCTATCTCCTTCTTTTTCTTTTGTTTTCTTTCTTCTGTGATGAAGTCTGGCTCAGTCGTCCATGCTGGAGTGCATGGAGCCCAGAGGGCTGCTGCCTCCTTCACTGCCAGGACAGATGTCTGTGCGTGTTCTTCTCCCAGCCAATAGTACAGATGCAGTCAGCAAACAAAACACACAGACACACACACATAACTTCCTCCCTCAGTGACCCCAATGCCTGACAATGGAGATGAATCATGTTCCTCAAAGTAGAAAGTTGCTGTCAGTAAGTGAAACTGAAAAAAGATGTCTTAAAAGACAATTGCTTCAAATTTAATGTCTGTAAAGAAATATGCAGTTGGTTGTGAAGATTAAGAAGTAAACTGCATGATATAAAGGGGAACATATTAATCAAATGTAGAATAATAAATTTTACTGTATAAATGTTTTCTTTTTCTATAAGTTAACATATAAAGGACAATAGCATGGAATTAAAAGTGTTGTGTTTTTATTCAAGAATGATTTTTGGGACAGGGTCTCCCTCTGTTGCCCAGGCTGGAGTGCAGTGGCATGATCTCAGCTCACTGCAACCTCCACCTCCCAGGTTCAAGGGATTCTCATGCCTCAGCCTTCTGAGTAGCTGCAATTACAGGTGTCAAGCCACCACACCTGGCCAAGAATATTTTCAAAAGCATGTCTCTGAGGCTATAAAAATTGAAGCTGAAATTGAGGAATGAAGTCTATTAAAATAGTAAGTAGGCTGGGCACGGTGGCTCACACCTGTAATCCCAGCACTTTGGGAGGTCAAGGAGGGTGGATCACCAGGTCAAGGGGTTCGAGACTAGCCTGACTAACATGGTGAAACCCTGTCACTACTTAAATACAAAAACAATAATAATAATTAGCTGGTGTGGTGGCACATGTATGTAATCCCGACTACTCAGGATGCTGAGATAAGAGAATCACTTGTGATGGGAGAATCACTTGAACCCGGGAGGCGTAGGTTGCAGTGAGCTGAGATTGTGCCACTGCACTCCAGCCTGGGTGACAGAGCAAGACTTCATCTCAAAAATATATATATAATAATAATAAGTATTCATTTTATGTCTAAATAAAAGAGATAAATCAAAGGCTAATATTTCATTTGGGATAACTTTCTTTTAAGATGGCTTTCATTCTGATTCTGCTGTTAGTTTTAGGTCAGTTAACAAGTAGATGATGACTACAATTTTGTGTTCAGATATAATGAGTATAAACCAAGCCTCATTTCATTAATTAGTAGAGACCAACAGGTTGGTTAAGAAAGGAACCATTCCGGGACAAGGACGCATGGGTGAGGAAGGTCAGGTTCAGGAACTCTAACTCCTTGCCACTCAAGAAATGTCCTCCCTTTCAGAATATGCCTTGCGCATGTCTCATCTCAGTGCTCGGCTATTTGGTGAAGTCGCCAGGCCTACTGATTCCAAGTCTATGAAAGTGGTGAAACTGTTCAGTGAACTGCCCTTGGCCAAGAAGAAGGAGACTTACGATTGGTATCCAGATCACCACATTTACTCTGGACTCATGCGGACACTCCGACTTCTGGGACTCTACAGAGATGAGCATCAGGATTTTATGGATGAGCAAAAACGACTAAAGAACCTTCGTGGAAAGGGGAAACCAAAGAAAGGAGAAGGGAAAAGAGCAGCAAAAAAGAAGTAATGTTGGTCCCTCAAGAGGGAGAATTTCTTCCTCAGTGACAGAGAGAAAAAGTGCATTTATTGTCTTTCCACATATTGGAGGAATGTCATCTTCCTAAATGAAGGTTATTTGGAGGAACACAGTTGTATCCTTGTTGAAATCTAATCCAGTTAAATTGTAGCTGGTTTCTTGAACACATTCTAACTGTGCAAAATTATTTTGGCCTTGGTCATGTTATGTGATGTTTACCTAGTTCTCTAATGAAATGAATAAATAAGTAAAAAAAAAAAAAGAAAGAACCATTAATTTGACAAAAAGAGTTATCCTAAACTATGACAAGTTTTCCAGTATTTAATTCTTTTTACAATTATTTTTTTGAATGGCAAATAAAATTGTATATATGTTGTGTAAAACCTGTTTAGAAATAAGTAGGTTGTGGAATGATTCAATTGCACTCAGGATCAAACACATACTTGTTTTTTGTGGTGAGAACACTTCTTGATTTTCTTTTTTTATTGAGACGGAGTTTCGCTCATTACCCAGGCTGGAGTGCAATGGCGCGATCTCGGCTCACCGCAACCTCCACCTCCTGGGTTCAGGCAATTCTCCTGCCTCAGCCTCCTGAGTAGCTGGAATTACAGGCATGCGCCACCATGCCCAGCTAATTTTTTTTTTTTTTTTTCGTAGAGATGGGGTTTCACCATGTTGACCAGGATGGTCTCGATCTCTTGACCTCGTGATCCACCTGCCTTGGCCTCCCAAAGTGCTGAGATTACAGGCGTGTGCTGGGATTACAGGTGTGAGCCACCGCGCCTGGCCCCACTTCCTGATTTTCAAGAATACGTTTTTAACTGCAGTCACCATGTTGTGCAATACATCTCTTAAACTTATTTCTCTTGTCTTAACTAAAATTTTCAATGCTCTCACCATCTCCCCAAACCCCCACTGCCTCCCGGCCCCTGGTAACCACCATTCTACTGTCTGCTTCTGTGAGGTCAATTGCTTTACATTTCACATAAGTGAGATCATGTGGTAGTTGTCATTTTGTGCCGGCTCATTTCACTTAATGTGCTCCATTAAGCTCCTGTGAATCCCAGTTCTAACCTGCAGTTTCTCTTAAGTGTTCTTTCATTGCCTTTTTTTGGTTTCCACTAACAATTCCAGAGCTCAGCTGTGAAGTTTTCGCTGCTTTTGAAGACATTCATTGTTTTTCTTTATATCTTGTCCACAGACATGCAAATAAACTGTTCAGTGCAAATGGAGCAGCTATATGCCCTTCCTGCGAAGGCAGGCTGGTTTTACATCTATTAAACAAATCTGTCTCAGCATTCTTTTTTTTTTGAGATGGAGGTTCGCTGTTGTTACCCAGACTGGAATGCAATGGCACGATCTCAGCTCACCGCAACCTCCGCCTCCTGGGTTCAGGCAATTCTCCTGCCTCAGCCTCCCGAGTAGCTGGGATTACAGGCGCGCACCACCATGCCCAGCTAATTTTTGTATTTTTAGTAGAGACGTGGTTTCTCCTTGTTGACCAGGATGGTCTCGATCTCTTGACCTCGTGATCCACCCACCTTGGCCTCCTGAAGTGCTGGGATTATAGGCGTGAGCCACCCCACCCAGCCTGTCTCAGCATTCTTAACAGCCTTTATATTGTTTGATATCAAGCTCAGTAAATTTTTTTATTTTCTTTCTTTTTTTTATTGCATTTTAGGTTTTGGGGTGCATGTGAAGAACATGCAAGATAGTTGCATAGGTACACACATGGCAGTGTGATTTGCTGCCTTCCTCCCCTTCACCTATATCTGGCATTTCTCCCCATGCAATCTCTACCCAAATCCCTACCCCCCGCTGTCCCTCCCTTATTCCCCCCAACCGACCCCTGTGTGTAGTACTCCCCTCCCTGTGTCCATGTGTTCTCATTGTTCAACACCCGCCTATGAGAACATGCAGTATTTCATTTTTTGTTCTTGTGTCAGTTTGCTGAAGCTCAGTAATTTAAAAATTATGCCTGTCTTTTTAAGACTACCTGTGGGTTGGAGAAGACTCAGCAGATAATAAACATAAAAATTATTTCATCTGATTTAATTATATTGAATCAATTTTTTTTTTTTTTTGAATTGGAATCTTGCTCTGCCTCCCAGGCTGGAGTGCAGTGGTGTGACCTTGGCTCACTGCAACCTCTGCCTCCCAGATTCAAGTAATTTACCTGCCTCAGCCTCCTGAGTAGCTGAGATTACAGGCATGTGCCACCATACCCAGCTAATTTTTGTATTTTTAGTAGAGATGAGGTTTCACCAGGTTCACCAGGCTGGTCCCGAACACCTAACCTCATGATCCACCTGCCTTGGCCTCCCAGAGTGCTAGGATTACAAGCATGAGCCACCACACCCAGCCATCTTGAATCAATTTAACTGATTATATGTCATACTTGGGAAAAGCAGGGCAATTATAAAATTTAGTAATGACATCTCCATTAAAAAGCAATAATTCCTATTCTACTTAAAAAATTTTTTACGTAGAGAAGTAAGTGGCATCCTAGTGGAGGAGTAAGTGGCATCAGAAGGATGCACTGGGGAGCTTGTGTAGTGGTCACTGAGTTAATGTGTGTTGCTTTATTTGACTGAAAATGATTTTGCCATCCTAGCTTCCACCAGTTAGGTAGGCAGAAAACCCAAAGTTAGTGACTTTGAACAGTTCCATCAATGTTTGTAACTCAAGGGCCAAAGTTACAGACTAAATGGCCAGTCCAGTCGATCTCTGGTTCACCCTCATGCTGACAGAGCTTTTAGGTAGTGAGGCAGTGCTTGGTCTCAAGGTAGCCTCCCTTCCCCTCATGCATTACCTGGTGTTTGTGGGCAGGAGTGTGGATCCTCTATACATGCCTGGGACTGTATGGGGAGGGGCCTCCAGTGGCCGGCATACATCCTGGGGCCTTTGCAAGTGCCTGACCCATAGATGCTCCCTGTGGTCTGGTCACTGGGAGCCCCGGTGGCTTACTGTGTGGAAGTTAGAGGCTTCACAATAAATCACAATAATTTATTGTGAAGCCACAATTTGTAGCCTGAGCTTGGCCTCAGGGAATATTCCTGGGTGATGTGAGCAATCTCTCCTCCTTACTCAGTATCACAGGGGAGCAGCGACTCTCTGGGATGGTGGCATGGGTGGGTGGTAAAAGAATTTACCAAGACAGTTGTCGATAAAGGCAGATTTATTGGACACCACAGAGCTGACATGTTTGTGGTGATGTAGGTGTGAACATAAAATTATATACAGTGCATAATGCTTGATGAAAATAATAAATGATGTTAATGTTTTATGTATTTAATATCCCATACTTTTTAATGTTATTTTAGAATATACTTTTTTTTATTTTTTTAGAGTTAACTGTGAAACAGTCTCGGGCAGGTCCTTCAGGAGGTTTCCACAAGAAGGCATTTTTATCAAGATGACAGCTCCATGCCTGTTACTGCCCCTGAAGACCTTCCAGTGGGACAAGATGCAGAGGCAGAGGAGAGTGATATTGATGATCCTGATCCTGCTTAGACTTAGGTGAATGTGTGTGTTCGTGTCTTGGTTTTTAACAAAAAAGGTTTTAAAAGTAAAATAAATAAATTAATTTAAAAGTCTTGTAAAATAAAATTATAAAGAAACAAACTTTTTGTATACCTATATAATTTGTGTGGGGGTTTTTTGTTCATTTGTTTGAGACAGGGTCTCACTCTGTCACCCATACTGGAGGGCAGTGGTGTAATCATGGCTCACTGTAGCCTCGACCTCCTGGGCTCCAGCAATTGTCCCACCTAGGAGGACGCCAGTCCTGCAGACAGACATTAGGCCCCAGGTGTACACCAGGCCCCAAGTTGACAACCAGGTGCCAGATGGACACCAAGGCACTGGGTAGCCAGCAGGCTCGTGCTGAACACCAGACTCATGTGGACATCAGGCCGCAGAGAGATACCATGCCTTAGGTAGATACACAGGCTCCAGGTGAACATTAGACCAAAGGTACACACCCAGTCCCCAGGTGATCACCAGAACCAGGTGAAGACTCAAGGCTGGATCAGGCCTTAAATGGACATCCAGGCTCCAGGAGATCACCAGACCCCAGGTGGACACCAGGCCTCAGGTGAACAAAATCCAGTAGACCATCAGGCCCCAGCTGGATACCAGTCCCCAGGTGAACACAAGGCCCCAACTGGGACATAGGCCCTAGGTGGAAATCAGGCCTGAGGAGGACATCCGGCTCCTGGTGAACATCAAGCGCAGGTATCCAAGCACTCCCTGGATGGACATAACTGTGTACAGGTAAGGAGTTGACCTTGGGGGAGGGTGAGTAGTCAGCAGTCCACTGGAGTCCTGAGTAGGTCTTAAGGAAGGAAGGGGCTGAGGGGACAGAACATTAAAGAAACAACCTCACTTCCTTGATGACAGACCCAAACAGAAGTTAGAACTCGTAACTGGGCGTCCATATCCTAGTGTCTGCCCTGCGGCCAGCTCACTTGGTGGGAGACGCTCAAGAGGGCAAGATGTTCTCGTGCTGCATCCCCATGAATTGAGTCTCCTGCTTCAGGAATGACGAGAGTGAGAACCTTTTCAAACAATGCCAGCAAAGCCTCATGCATCACCTCGGGTGCCTGTCGCCGACTGGAAAAAGGTGCACCCAGGCACCTCGGGGCAGCCCAGCGCAGGCCCTCGAAAGCCAGGCCCACCAGAGATCCCATCGGGGCTGCATCTGCATATTGTCCTTGTCCAGCTAGAGATTCTGAAGCCCACGGAGTCACAGGCACATGGTGAGGTGGCCTGCAGTCTGGAAGACTTTGTGGGGGCAGTGTTTTGGGGCTGGAACTCTTCAATTCAGTGGGGTTCTTTCCGTGTTTGGAAATCCCAGTGGACAGTGACTGACGTTGGTGATTGTTTCCCCTCTTTCAGCTCCTGCTCCATTTGCTGATGGAGAGGAACTTCCTGTGCCAACTGTTGGGTCAGAGCCCACACCACTCCTCGGAAGGAGGAGCCCCCTTCCGAGACAGAGCTGGAGCTAGAGGCAGCTCCAGAGCCCTGCCACCATACTGGTATAGCCAAGAACCAGCCCAGCCAGGAACTGCCCGACATCCTGGTACCGGCCGTAGCCACTGTCCTCAGCCCTGATCTGAAAGCATGGCTGGAATATAGAGGTGTTTTGCAGGGGCTGGAATTCCTTTAAATTCAGTGAGGTTCTTTTAGTGTTTGGAAATTCCAGTGGACAATGACTGACATTGAAGACCCTTTCTCCTTTTTCAGCTCCTGCTCCCTTAGCAGGAAGAGAGGGCCTTCTAGCGCCAGCTGTAGGGCCAGAGCCCACACCATGGGAGGAGCCCCCTCCCGAGACAGGGCTGGAGCTAGAGGCAGATCCAGAGCCCTCCTGCCAGTATACTGCAGGTGAGGACCAGCCCAGTGAGGAGTTACCCGACATCCCGGCATTTGGTGGAGCCACTGGCCTAAGCCCTGGAGCTGGAAGGGTAGTTGGAGATGTAGGTGGTAGAGAAGGGGTTGCCACCACGGCCCCAGTCAGCAGCTTCTATGCTGTTCTTAATCCTGGTCATGGTGGGAGTTATGGAGGAAGAGACCAGGGTGTGCGGCCTGGGCTCCTCTGCCTCACTGGAGAGGGGCTTCTGTCATTCACAGAGCCACAGCCCTCCTGCAGCAGGACCTCTTCATTCTGCTGGTGCTGGGGGTGTCTATCTGCCTGCGTGCAGGAGGTGCTTGAGATCAGGAAAAGCAGCCTGTGAGGAAGGGATCCAGCAGCATCTCCTGCTCCCACAGGCAGCAGCCTCTTCCAGGCATGGAGGTCTGTCTGCAACAGGGCATCTGGGCTCTTCGCTCCTGATGTGCTGCCTGGGACGGGCTCTTTTTTACAGGTGGGTAGGGGGTGAGGGGACCAGGGGGCAGCTTTAAAGGGCACCATAAGCAAAGCTTCTAAACTCAGCACTTGTGCCCCAGTCTCTCCATGCTGCCACCTGACTTAGGATGTATTCCTAGTATTAAATTACCAGTTCATGAAATGATGTTGAAACAAAGCTCAACTTTTTGAAACTTCATGCCTTTTTAAAATCCCTAATGTTAGACACTTTTTGAGGCTATCCTGAAAATCTCTTGTATCTTTTTGTTGTGGTTGTGTGATTTGAGTTACCATGAAATCAACTGTTACTGGAAATCTTTTAGGTATGGCTTTGAGAAGACCTTGACCTACTTTTGCCTGTTTTGACTCCAGTTTATTTTGGAAAAAGAATCATGTAATTTTATTTCTTTGGCAATTAACAACCTTTTGCCATCAAGGATTTGGAATCAGAGTTTCTAAGAATTATGTGTACAAGTTGATACACTGGTATTTTAGCTAATCTGGATGTCAAAACAATGCTATAGACTAGGTGGCATACAAAATGTGTTTCTCACAGTTCTGGAGATGGTAAAATCCAATGCCAAATGGTCAGCAGATTCCGGGTCTGAAGTGGGAGGGGGGCTCCCTGGTTCATAGCCACCATGTCCTTACATGACAGAAGGGATGAGGGCTCTCTGTGGTCCCTTTGATAGGGGTACCAATCCCATTCATGAGGTCCCTGACTTCATGAACTTAGTCACCTCCCAAGGCCCCACCTCCAAATACCATCACACAGGGAATTAGATTTCACCACATGAATTTGAGGAGAACAACAATAACATTTGGTTTATAGCATCAGGTCACCCCAAGCCATATGTACTCACAGGATATCTATAATCTTCTATTAAATACTGGCTGGTCTTCTATCTCTGGGTTTAGAAATTATTGGTTTTTTTTGCTTTAAGAAAAATGATCTTATATGCGATCCATGGTTTATTCACAAAAAAGCACTGTGAGTTCACACACTTGCAAAAAAGATACAGAAATGAGAGTGGCTTCTCTCTCTCTCTCTCTCTCTTTTTTTTTTTTTTTTTTTTTTTTTTGAGACAGAGTTTTACTCTTGTTTGCCCAGGTTGGAGTGCAGTGACACAATCTCGGCTCACTGCAGTCTTCACCTCCTAGGTTCAAGTGATTCGCCTGTGTCAGTCTCCTAAGTAGTTGAGATTACAGGCGCCTGCCACTATGGTTGGCTAATTTTTGATATTTTTAGTAGAGACAGGGTTTCACCACGTTGGCCAGCCTGGTGTCAAACTTCTGACCTCAGGTGATGGGCCAGCCTCAGCCTCCTAAAGTGCTGGGATTACAGGCATGAGCCACCACGCCTTGGCCTCTCTTTTTTCCTAACCAACCCATTGGGCTAAGACATTGTAGGGGCTCTTGGCTGGACAGTAAGACTTGAGTAGCCACAGCCGGCAAATACAGCCTCTTGGTCAGTTTGGGGGGGGGGGCAAAAACGTGTCAGAAATGAAAAAGTAAAGTAGTTGGAGAAGTTAGTTGGCATTCTAGTTATACCACCTCGTCCCTATCAAACCCCACCCCCCACTCAGGAACTAAGACGTAAAACATTAAACGCTGAGATGCTGGTATCCAACTGACACTTCTGAATACCCTTGCTACCTTGTACAACAACTGCAGGCTGAGCATAGGGGTCAGAAATGTAGCAGGAACATGATGATACACTGTGCACGTCAGCCAGGACTAACAGCTGCCCACTAGGGCTGGAAATTAGGAAGAAAGAGACTAAGTGCAGACCAGCCCTATCCTCCAAGTCAACAAAGATGTTTGTCTTCTGCAATGGGACATCTTCAGAAGCCGCATTAGTGGAGGGGTGGGTGGTAATGGTGGAGTGGGTGGCTCTTTGCTTTTGACAGGGTGTCTGCTTATGTATTAAAATAGTACAGCATATATTTCATTAAGACATCTGCTAAAAAATGAAGTAAAACTCGGGTTCATGTTCTTTTTTTCTTTTTTTATACGGAGTCTCACTGTCACCCAGGCTGGAGTGCAGCAGCTCGATCTTGGCTCAGTGCAACCTCTGCTTCTCAGGTTCAAGGGATTCTCTTGCCTCAGCTTCCTGAGTAGCTGAGATTACACGCGTGTGCCACCATGCCTGGCTAATTTTTTGTATTTTTAGTAGAGATGGGGTTTCACCATGTTGGTCAGGTCAGGCAGGTCTCACACTCCTGACCTCATGATCCACTTGCCTTGGCCTCCCAAAGTGCTGGGGGATTACAGGTGTGAGACACCGCACCCAGCAAGGTTTATGTTCTTAAGCGGCACACTATTTGCTGTGGCAGCAAGACCAAAAGGCTTAAGTACCAAAAATATACATTAGCTACAGTTTCATGTAAACAAAACAATGTGACTATATGTGACAGTAACTCATATACCCAGAATATTTTTAACTGAGATTGAAATCATTTTCAATGTTATGTGATACATCACAAATGGTATCACTGTATTCTGAGATGATACATTATTTGTATATATACTATAAATAAGTTATTTATTCAACAAATAATTATTTGGAATCTACAAAATGCTGGTTTCTGTTCTAGACACTGAATGTAGAATTGATAGAAAATACAGTATTTGTCCTCAGATAAAAAGCAAAATATATATTGAGTGGAGGTTGTACTGCTGAAAACAGGAAGAGACCAAATTGCCAATACCAAAATCAGGAAACCCAGTGTGATTTTCAATATTTGATATTTCAAAACAGGTCTCTTGTTTTTTCTCA